TTTGATAGGTAACATACCCTTAAAACTCATTTTCTTGATTTTTTTTTTGTTATTGTAATATTTTTATTTTTTATTTTTCTTAAGTATTGCCATCCTGGAAGTTGGGAGTTCGGTAAAACTCCACAACATGTGAACTGTGTCTTCTCAGTGCTTGATAGCAAAACTTGGGGAATCAAGATGGGATTCTAGCCATGAATTAAGTGTAGTTGTGTGTTAGGTCGAGTACGTGTTCTACCGGTATGGAAAGTGTTGTAAGACTGCCGTAGAATTCACTAGCGATTAGTTAGTATGGAAAGTGTTGTAATACTGCGGGGGTAGCCATAACATTCACTAGAAGCAGATAGTGCTAGAGTGATGTAAGTCTCTGGGTGTAGCCGCAACATTCATTAGGTTGGTAGATAGCATGAGCGCGTTGTTAGGATGCGGAAGGGATAGTAATAACCACCAGTTCAGGTGCAGCAGTGAGGATATGGAAATCCACATATTGGTTTATAGGTTTCCCTAGAGGGATTAAACCTAGTTAAGTCAGTGATAAGACTGCAGGAACGTCACTACAATTATGGGATCAAGGAAGCAATGGATTGCTTAAGGTTATTTGTGATGTAAGGCCACCATTGGTCATGAAGCAATCGCTTGGATTTGGTAACGACGGAATTGGACGCATGGATCCGATTGGCTGGATCAGGAGGTTGTTAGAGTCGCAGTGGCATGATAACTAGTGGTAATTAGTTCCAGGGAAGGATTTCGTTCATAATTCATGTGAGGCAACTATGTGGGAGTCCTTTAGCTCCGCGATCGGGTCGAAACCTAGTATTTTGTATGAGTGTTACTCGGTTGTGGCAAATCAGAGGATTTTTGGATGAGATGCAAGGATAGGTCCTTGGATTTAAATTTATGGGTTTGACCCGAGTTATGTATATAGTGGTATTTCAATCTAGGGTAAGTGATAAGACTGCAGGAACGTCACTATAGTTATGGGATCAAGGAAGCAATGGATTGCTTAAGGTTGTTTATGATGTAAGGCCACCATTGGTGATGTAGGAATCACTTTTAGCCATGGATTTGGTAATGACGGAATTGGACGCATGGATCCGATTGGCTGGATCAGGAGGTTGTTAGAGTCGCAGTGGCATGATAACTAGTGGTAATTAGTTCCAGGGAAGGATTTCGTTCAGAATTCATGTGAGGCAACTATGTGGGAGTCCTTTAGCTCCGCGATCAGGTTGGAACCTAGTATTTCAGATGAGTGTTACTCGGTTGTGGCAAATTAGAGGATTTTTGGATGAGATGCAAGGATAGGTCCTTCAATTTAAATTTATGGGTTTGACCCGAGTTATGTATATAGTGGTATTCCAATCTAGGGTATTCCATCATGAGGATGACCGGACCCTACGATTGAGTGGACCTGACGTGTTTGGTATTCCAACCTGAGGGTTGATTGGACCAAACATGTGTGTGATACGAGGGTATTCCATCCTAGGGATGATTGGACCCATCGTGGGCATGCCTGGTATTCCAGCCCAAGGCTGATTGGGCCAGGTATGAGTATTTATGCTTATGATCCAGTCATTATATGTATGTTGATCCTACGGATAAAGGAAGCATTGTCTTGACAAGCCTATAAGGGTTTATCTACCAATTTACATCCCCTTGTTCATTAAATCCCTGGGAATTGGTTACCAAAACGAGTTTCTCTTGAAGGAGTACTTAATCTCTTGTCGGGAAGAGAATTATAGGTAGCAGTGTGGGATTTGTGACTTTATTTTCGGGTGGGAACCCCAAGATATTAACATTTGAGTAGCCAATTGGGGAGTTAAGTGCAATGAATTCGGCAATGATCCAATGTGGGCAGTCTGTCAGGGAGCCAAACCATCTCGAGACTTCGGATTTTGGATTGAGTAAATGTGATCATATTGCAAGAAATTCATCTTTAGAATATAGAACCATGCGAGGGTTGGTTACGGTTGCCTTGGAGAGGCTAGAGTTTTGCCCGGGGATGTAGCCAAGAAGATCAAGTTATTTGGCGTGTACGAAATGATAAGAAACGATTTCAAGGACGAAATCAAATTTAAGTGGGGGAGTGTATGATATTATTTGGACTTAATTTTTAAATATTTTCATAAGTCAAGGAGTGTATGATATTATTTGGACTTAATTTGTAAGAATTTATGGAAATGGGGGTTAAAAAGTAAATTATGGACCTAAGATGAAAGGATTTTGGAAAGCTAGGGTCTAATTGGTAAATTTGGGATTTGTATTGAAAAGAATATTGCAAAGAGGGACCATTTGTGTCATTATGGGTAAAGCTGGTAGGCTCCTCTCTTCAACCGCAAACACCTTATGCCTCCCTCTTCACCCTCCAGCCGCCTCCTTCCCTCATCTTGTTGCTCCGATCAACCAAGGTCACCGGTGGACCGTTATTGTCGGCAGAGACGTCCCTTGCCGCTATATCTCTACCGATGATGACAATCGTGGCGAAAGTTTCTGCCGTTCGTGGGTGGGAAGATCGGACCTCTTTCTTCGATTGTATGCTGGTGCTACATCGTCGCCACCAAAGTTGCTGCCAAAACATGACGACCGCTGCTGCTGTCGCTGCTTTTCACATTACTGTTTCCGCTCCTGCCACCGTTAACGCTGACCCAAGCGCCACCGTTGACGGTTGTTGCTCTATTGCCGTTGACACCTACCACAAGTGGGTGTTAGGATCGTTTTCTGAGCAGGGGTTGTTAGTTGTGTGACTGTGTAACCAAGAACCAAAGGAAATCAACGCCACCACCGTGAGGTGGTGGTTGCCACCCCGAATCCGTTACTGCCACTGCCATGAGCCACCACGTGGGTGGGTGGAGTGCATCTCGCAAGTTGTAGCGTGTGTTGTTTATCTTATGGCGTGTTTTGTCCAGCCGGGAAAACCTAGGGTCCACCACCACCACCACCGTGAGGTAGTGGCTGCTACCTCCGACCACCACTTGCCGCCATAGGGCGGCTCTATGAGTGTGTGTGTGTGTGTTTACCTTAGTGTGTGTATGTGTGTGTTTATTCGGGATTTTGGGTTGTAAATTGTATTATAATCGGCCAGAATAATGATAGAAAAATCCATAACCTCCACCGTGAGGTGGTGGCTGCCGCCACCAGCCGCTGTGTAGGGTGGTGGTGTGTGTTGATTGCATTTGGACCTCGCTTGGGATGATTGGATAAGAATGGGCCCAACGAAACCCTAGTGGATCTAATGAAACCCTAATGGGCCCAATAAGGCTCAATGTGACCTAAAAGCCCAACCAATGGACTAATGGGCTAGTATTAGGTTGGAAATAACCCTAATTAGGGTTTGGAAAACCCTAAGGGCATAAAACCCTAATTGTGGGAATTGTTTGGGACACACACGAGAACTAATTATTAAACCGAAGATAATTATTAATAATCATTGACAAACTAACTTAAGGTAATAATGAACTTAATGGATTAAGCCGTTAATGGATTAAGTCATTAATAAGAACAATTAATCCTAATTGTCATTTCATGTGGAAACCCTATGTTTCCATTGGGCTTTGGTAATTGAATTATTAATGTACCATTCCAGACTGATTATATGGATTAGAATATGTTGATGGGCTTTAGGGTAAGGCCCAATTTAGAAAATTGGGTCATATTTATAATACAAATCTTACTAAAAGTTGCAGTTCATATTTTTGATAATTGTATATATATCTTTTTTAATACAAATGTTATGATAAATGTTTTTCTATTTTTATGTTACTAAAAGTTGCAGTTCATATTTTTGTTCATACGTTTTATTACCCGTTATATTATCATTCATTTGATATATAATTTATATAATTTTAAACGGTTTATAAAATTATCAAATAATTGTATATCACAACGACTTAAAAATAAAACTATAATGTTTAATAAAATTAATATGTTAACTATATGTTTGTTTTACTACTAAGATTTTATTTCAAAGTAAAAATATTAAATAATAATTTGGTAAAAACTATTATTTTAACTATATAATTTTATTCTCGCGCAACGCGTGTGTGTGTGTATATATATATATATATATATATATATATATATATATATATATATATATATATATATATATATACCACTACAAAACTTTAGCGGCGGCAAAAGATGTCGCAATTGATCATCTTTGTCGTCGCTAATGCGACGCCGCAATTAGCTCGTACCTGATAGCCCCATGTCGTCTCTAATACTGCCGTCTCTAATAACTGTCGTCCCTATTACACCACTGTCGTCTCAAATAGTGTTGTCACTATTAATATTCTGACAACCGGTAGGATTTTTCCAGCAATACTCGCCGGAGGTCCACGTCGTCACAATTAACAGTAGTCGTCTCTAAAGGCGTCGCTGCTAATGGTTTTTTTTTTTTTTTTTTTTTTTTTTTTTTAGTAAAACTTATTTTTTATAATATTAATTTATATATATTTAAAAATGTTGTTTTGATAGAAATCTACTATAATAAATGAAGGTTTTTTTACCACATGTCCTCTTCTCATTCATTTGGACACATGACATTTTCTAGAATTTTTAAATTTTTCTATTTTCCACTTGTCATTTTATTGTATTTTTCATATTATTAAATTAAAATTCCACATTTAATATGTAAGGTAATATATATGTAAAATATTTATTAGAAATAATTTATATATATACTGTATTCAATACATTAAAGTCTCATTAATTTTAATAATTCAAAATTTTTCTTATTTTTCTTATAAATTCAAACTATTCAAATTATTAAAATTTCATTTTTTTAATTAAACTCATGTAATACATGAGTCTCACACCTAGTACATATATAAATACATACCACATTATATAAAAACATCAAAAATACCATATTCCATAAACTATTTTCCAAACAAACATCAAAAATACCATATCTAATAAATCTCAAACAAACGTTTAATATATATCATACATAAACTATTTTCCAAATCAAAAATAACATCCTCCATATCATAAAACAAGAAATACTAGTTATTTTCGTTTTCCCCACCGTCCTCCCCATCATTGTTTTCCTCGTTGACTTGGTTTTTAAACGAGCGAATAATGTCTTCAATGGCTGTCACAAATGTCGGGTTTTGAGGAAAAGCATTCACATCAACATCCTACAATTAAGTCACAAACAAATAAGTTATGAACAATTCAACAAACTATCAAACCATCAAAGCACCAAATCAATTAAGTCTATAACAATTTAAGAAACTACCGAGCTACCAAAAATTACTACAAATACATTAAGTTCTTAACAATATAACAAAGCAACCAAATTTTTTAAGAATTTAACAAGTACTTGTGTTGGTTGCGATGCTTGTGACTGTGACTGTCATTGGGATGAAGCACTTGTACCCGCAGCTGAAGAAGCTTTAGGCTCAATGCCTCTCACATGCCCCCATCGAGTGCGCAACACCTTCTCAAATATTGTGATCCAATCAATGGTGTCTGGATCACCACCAGAGTCGGCTATGTGATGAGTCTGTAGAGAAACCTCAGCAACTAAGGCATTCTGTATTTCACAAAGATTGTTAATATACGTTAAAACTAACAAAAAAAATTCAACAATCTACTTCATTTTTAAGTAATAATAACTTACATATTGCTCTTCAACCAATGGATCAACAAATTCCCCTATTTTATTTACATATGCACGATGAAATACTTCAAGTCTATTCAAATTCTGTTTAACATTGCAAAATATGTTATATTTGAATAAACATTAAAAAATATGTTATAACTGAATAAACATTATTGTAACTTACTTTCTTGAAACAAGCACTACCGTAGCTTCATGTCCCTCCACGATTCTTCACTACTTGCTTCTTCCGGCATTCTTTGTTTCCAGCGGATCGTTTTTGATGTTTTTCTGTTAAGAAATGGTCAATAGCAGCATTCCAACGTTGCTGATCCATACCCATAGGGGCTTAAGCCCTTGCTGCCTCCACATTCCCTGCAAAATCATCAAAACGGTTTTTTGCAATATTTTTGCGGTCTCTATACCGCGCACATATCCGATTGTTCAGTGATACCCAATAAGTTGAAGCCATGGGATGATTTGTAATCGCGTCAAAATCAAACCATCTCTACAAAAAAAAAAAAAAAAAAAAAAAAAAAAAAAAAAAAAAAGAGAAATTAAAAATTAATCAAAATTAAAAATATTGAATATATAACTTTATAAATAATTTACCGAAAGATACTGCAACATTCCAACCCTTTCGGCTTTAGAAACCTCTGTCCATGTGTCTTTATCAAAACCGATGTCCCGCCACATATAGCTCCCAACCTCCCGAATAAAACATTCGTACACCTCCCCAATCGGCATGTTAGTATTTACGTCAAATACTATCTTAAGAGGCCGTTCACCGTTAGCTTTATAGAGTTTGTGCATTTTTTTATTTACCGCCACGCCTCTTCGTTTCGGAGGCACCACTGCATAAAAAAAATATTAGTCAGAATAATTTTTTATATACATACAATGTGAAATACAATGAATTAGAATAAATTTTAATTACCATCGTTTTGGTGATCACCAAAACCCCCCACCGAACGGATGTGGTGGCTCGTCACCACCGTCGCCTCCATGACCCATCATAGCAGCCATGAGATGGAGCAATACAATCTAAAAAAATGACATCCTGAAAAATTATAACACAATATGAATATATATATATATATATATATATATATATATATATATATATATATATATATATATATATAATATGACTACAACAAATACAAACCTTATTTTACTAATTAAATGTAAAAAGATTTTTTTTTAATCATTCTCGCCCCCAGACACTTCAGTGTCTGTCGATACATCACCATCATAATCAGAATCTTCCTCATCATAATCAATCTTGCAATCAGACACATTATTGATAATACTCGTCGGTGGTTCAACTTCAATATCATCTTCAACCGATTGAGAATTTTGAAAGTACTCGCTAAAGTCAATTGAGAGAGTGAAATTAGAAGAAGCATTACTAAGAACGACATCGGTTGAATCATTGTCGATATTTTCAATGGGATCGTGATCAACATCATTCATCGGTATATCCCAAATTCTTCTATGATTAATATTTTCAACAACCCACCGTTGGGTGTCATTTTCGTCACTTGGATAAGGTTCTTGGATATAAAATACTTACTTGGCCTGCGTAGCAAATACGAGTTGATCTTCACTGCTCAATTTGTTTTTATTTTTCTATTTTGATTAATTATAACTTAGTAGATTTAGCGTAGCGTTTTAATTTTTAAATTTTTTTATTATTAAATTTTACTTTAAACGATATTATATATTTGTTATTTATTTAATTAGTTTATTATGGTTTATTATTATTATTCTTCTTTTTCTTTTTAAAGCCTTTTTGACCAATTTTGATCTATCAATTAATTTTTGTTTTTATTTTTCTATTTTGGTTAATTATAACTTAGTAGATTTAGTGTAGCGTTTTAATTTTTAATTTTTTTTTATTATTAAATTTTACTTTAAGCGATATTATATATTTGTTATTTATTTAATTAGTTTATTATAGTTTATCATTATTCTTCTTCTTTTTCTTTTTAAAACCTTTTTGACCAATTTTGATTTATCAATTAATTTTTGTTTTTATTTTTCTATTTTGATTAATTATAACTTAGTAGATTTAGCGTAGCGTATTAATTTTTTATTTTTTTTATTATTAAATTTTACTTTAAACGATATTATATATTTGTTATTTATTTAATTAGTTTATTATGGTTTATTATTATTATTATTGTTTTTCTTTTTAAAACATTTTTGACCAATTTTGAATTATCAATTAATTTTTGTTTTTATTTTTCTATTTTGATTAATTATAACTTAGTAGATTTAGCGTAGCGTTTTAATTTTTAATTTTTTTATTATTAAATTTTACTTTAAACGATATTATATATTTGTTATTTATTTAATTAGTTTATTATGGTTTATCATTATTCTTTTTCTTTTTCTTTTTAAAACCATTTTGACCAATTTTGATTTATCAATTAAATTTTGTTTTTATTTTTCTATTTTGATTAATTATAACTTAGTAGATTTAGCGTAGCGTTTTAATTTTTAATTTTTTTTATTATTAAATTTTACTTTACACGATATTATATATTATTTATTTATTTAATTAGTTTATTATGGTTTATTATTATTATTCTTCTTTTTCTTTTTAAAACCTTTTTGACCAATTTTGATTTATCAATTTATTTTTGTTTTTATTTTTCTATTTTGAATAATTATAACTTAGTAGATTTAGCATTTTAATTTTTAATTTTTTTTATTACAAAATTTTACTTTAAACGATATTATATATTTGTTATTTATTTAATTGGTTTATTATGATTTATTTCTTTTTCTTTTAAAAACCTTTTTGACCAATGTTTCTTCATTAGCTTATAGAAAAAAAATTATCTATTATGATGTATTTATTTTATTTTTTTAATATAGAATAAAATATATTTCTAATAATCATATGAATATTCTTAAATTTTACATACAAATTCATGATAAACATACAATAGTTATATATATATATATATATATATATATATATATATATATATATATATATATATATATATATCAATTTCACATATAAATTAATCAATTCATACATGATCAATAAGTGAATGCATATAAACTACTCAATTCATACATGATTAACAAGTGAAACATATCAAATTAATCAACTCAAACATACATTCAAACAATTGAAAAAAAAAAAAAAACACAATTTCACATTTTCCAGTTTCCATCAATCCAAAGAAATCAAAATAATCAAATTCACAATTTCACAGTTCACACTCAAAATCAATTTCACAGCTTCAAAATAATCATTCATCAAAATAATCATTCACATCTTCATAAACAATTTCACAGCTTCAAAATAAACAATTTCACATATTCCATCAAGTGAAACTGATCAAACTAACCTGTTTTTGCCCAGAAAAATGAAAGCTACACGGTGGTGAAGATTTAGTCGTGGTGAAGGTGCTGGAACGAAAAAAAAAACAAATCACTTCAAATAAGAATCGGTGGTGTTAATGTGAGTTAAAAGAAGAATGCAAACACAATTGGGTCCTGAAAACTAACCTCGTCGGAGATATGAGCACGAAATCGAAGGTCCCGTCGGAATTGGAGGTGGCAGTCGCTTTGGAGGTTATACCGCCGGTGGGACTCGGTTTTGGAGGACAATCGGCGGTGGGAGAAGAGTTTGCAGCCCAATTAGTGATGGAGAGCAGTGGGAGTCGCCTCAGAAATTGCAGATCGCCGGTGTGAAAGAAAGGAGAGGAAATGTTCGTCTGGGGAAGACGAACTGGAACATAAAGGGCTATGCTAATAGCGGCGACATGGGGCTATTTGCGGCGACAAATTGGAGGGAATCCTACGCGCACTTTTTGGCGATTACCAACCGTTGGATTGGGTAGGAATTGTAGGGCCAAATTTTGTCTAAGGGTGAGTCAACGGATCGACACCTTTAGCGGCGACGTGTCGCCGCTAAAGGCGTCATCTCTAATGCCTTATCGCAGGAGCAAACCCTATCCATTGGATTATTTGCCAAACTAAGGGTCACGATTGAATGTAGCATATCTTCGACGGATCACCGGTAGTTATCTTTAGCGACGTCGGTAATAGCGACGACAATGAGGTTTTAGCGGCGACATCAAGTGCATCTACTCTGGTGTCGCCGCTATTGCTTATGTCGTCCCAAAAAGCGTCGTCCCTAATACTCCGATTTCTTGTTTTGTGAGTGTGTGTGTATATATATATATATATATATATATATATATATATATATATATATATATATATATATATATATATATATATATATATATATATATATATATATATACTCGTTGGTTCATGAAGTAAATGATTTAAGGGTCCATGCAACAATATTTTGTTTAAGAAAGTCAAATCTTTGAATTCTTGTTGTTAATTGTTAAACGTCCTAGTCAAAGGCCAATCCACACGTCGAACGTTGTAACAACACCGTTGAGCTAATTTTTCTAACGTTGAACATTCATTTGTTGGTTCCCATTTTGGTAGTTTACACAATCAAATTTATTGAATTATAAAGACATAAAAAATGAATTTACCAAACTAAGTAATCGTGAGTAATATAAAGCTAGTTAATTATACGTAACATTATAAATTATTATGTTTAGATAAACAACTTCTCATGGCTCCATCACAAGTCACAACTTTTACATTATATGTTGACTGTTGTTAGAATCTCGAACGACAAACTCATAATTAATTGACGCTGACGCATAACTAAAGATATGAAGAAAATTTTGACAAACATAATAATCACCATTCATATTAATTCTCTTACGTCCTCATAAGAATTTTATGTCCTCACCAAAATTACAGAGGTCTTATAAATTTTGGAAAGTTAGAGTTTACAAGATATATATCAGATGTATAAATATTGAAAAAAGAACTAAACATTTACACATGCCAAACCCCACAAAATCCAAGTCATACTGATACTCTAGAAAATTTGTGGAGAATGGGTAAAAGAGACCTCTATATAACACTAAAAATATATTTACAAAACCCAAGTCAAACTCAGGGAACTCCATCAAGAGGGAAGGAAAAAGAGACCTCCATATACCTTTGGACACATATTTTGGATGAAAGTAAAACGTTTAATATTGTCTAAATTAATATATGTTTGTTTGAGAATGACCACTTTGATAGATTGCTGAACGATTGTGAAGGAAATGGAAAACCGAATAAAGAATTGAAGACTGCGTATTAAACAAAGAAACAGTTGTTGAATTGTAGTCGAACATCCTATGGTGCATGGTAATGTCATCTAACGACGCCCAAGTCAAAGCTCAAAAACCCATATCAAAGTCAACAAACAAGGTGAAGGAAACAGGTAGGTTGCAGTTCAACATTCTAGGGGCATTTTGGGACGCTTCTCTGGGATGGACTGCGTTTTACATGCATTTGGAGTTATGACGGGCTTTTGATGTAAATAAGCATTTGACCCCAATGGTATAATGGGCATTATTTGACGCCCGTTAGAACGGCCAGCATTTTTGTCATTGATACAATGTATTTTTCCAGGACGTCAGAGAGAAGGATAAAACACAAGGTCGTGTTAAGAACCATTTTACGACGCCCAATACATTTTTAACCCTAAATTGAGTTTCTAAGCTTCCATATAAATAAGGAAGACCCTTGTTCGAGTCCAGAAACTCATTGGAAGCAAGATTTTCGTCTATTCCAAAAGCATTCCTAATCCCGTTTTACCCATTCTCATTCTGGAAATCAAAGCCTCGATTCACCCAATTGTTGTCTTCTACTTCATGTGTAACTTCACTTTTCCATAATAGGTCGGTTGAGGGTTAAGGAGGATCAAAGGTAAGGTTTTTGGGAAAAAAAATTCGTGTCACGATGTGATGAATGGAGCATCATGACGTGACATGCTAATGGGATGATCACGTATCCGGCTGATTGTCATGATATAACGAAGGGAAGGTCATGACATGACCCCAGTTGCAGCGCAAGCCCATGATCTTTTAGGTTTTCCTCCTTAATTAAGCCCCTA